GTCGACGATGCTAGCACGCGCGCACTTGCCGCCTATTAGCTCGAGCGTTCAGCAGAATTAATGTAACAAGTCGGGAGTTTGCGTTTGTTTGTCACCTTGGACGCGCTGGTGGCGGGAGCAGACGCGTCCATCCACCGCACTCGCGTCCAGTGCTGCAACATCCTACACACTCATCCTATGGATACCAAACCTTCCATGTTCTTTGCTGGCTCGGATGATGAGGCTGAGCTTGACGATGCTCTCGTTCGAACCAGTCAACCGCCTTCAAAAGCGGAAAGCGTCAGGTCTTCCGGGTCGCGGAAGGAAGCACTTTTCTTTGCCGATAGTGAAGATGAAGCTGCCGATGAACACCCGCCAGCACTGTCTGAACTTCCAACGATGGACATAGATGAGATTATGGACGATCTAAACGACGAAATTGATATACCTATGAACGAGGACATACCCCGAGCATCTAGCGTATCTAGCGCGTCTTCTCACCCCGCACCACGGAGCTCATCGCCTGCGTCTTCTGTAAAGTCCGAGGAGCCTCCCACCAAGAAGCGACGTTTATCACCTAAGGGAGCTCAGCAAGCACGATTCACGTCGAAGTACCTGGGCTCCTTTCTCATAGGCAATGCCTGGAGCACTGTACGAGGCTCAGGCTATGTAAAGCCTGGAGACGAGATTCTCGTTGAACGAGATCAGCCGGAGACTTCCACCACGAAGAAAACGCAGACTGCAAACCAGAAAAAGTCAGGAGGCGCGAAGAAGCAGCTCTCCATCGCCACCATGCTCAAGGCCCAGCCTCCGAAGTTCGCGAAGAAGAAAGAAGACACAGTTGTCCGGTTGACGAACAAGAGAGGCTTTGGTATGGCGGGCGCTCTGCCTGTGAAATATGGCATTAATTTCAATATCTCAGAGTTCGGTCGTCTACCTCAGGACGTCGCAAGCTGGGTGTCAAGACTCATAGATCTCGGTCTGTCACCGCATATGTACCCGCTACTACGTCTAACCTTCTCCCACAGATATCGTTGATTTTCATGGCAGTACAGTAATAGACTGTCCTTTGACGCTACGCTCAGGCGTAGATTTGATCGTGTCACTCTCAATACACATCAAAGCATCCGCGTTCAAGCCACCAAGCACATCCGCTAAGGAAAAGCCGCCCGCAACGTTCAATGAGGGCCAAGAAACAGAGGCCGAACAGATATTGCGAGAGCGAAAGAGCGCTTTGCTCAACCTCTTTAAGAATCTCGATCTCAAGCCTAATCGAGGAACAAGCATCACGCAAAAAGTACCTGGGAAGCTAGACCAAAATGACCTGGAGATGTTGACGCAGAGGCCTGGTGCACAGAAGGGAAAGAAAGCAGTGAAGACCGAGATCGTTGGAGATGGCGAGGAGATCCAAGTCGAAGGCGCGGATGACGAACTATCGGAAAACCAACTGAACCTCATTTACAAAAAGTATGTAGACAAACTACGGTCAAAATGTCACATGTCTCATCACTCTTAGGGCGCAACAAAATGACCAGAGCTTGGGTGAAATGAACCCTGCTGAGACATTTACCTTGACTTTGCGAGGATATCAGAAGCAGGCGTTGCTGTACGTCCTACCTTTACTCTACATGTATGCAAGACTTACGAGCGAGATGTCAGATGGATGCATTCCATCGAGACTGGTGCAGCATCTGCGCGTGAAGAGCACTCTATGCATCCATTGTGGAAAGAGTGAGATTGCTGAGGGACAACTTCCGTTCGCCGTCTGACCAGGCTATCAGATATATCTTCCCTCCCGAGCCCGGCGAAGGTCTCATTGACCTAACGTCGGATGATATGGCGTTCTACTTCAACGAATACTCTGGCGAGCTCAGCCTCGACTTTCCAAAAGCTGTGCGAAATACCAGAGGGGGCATTCTAGCGTGCGTCTATACCGTATCCTTCGGTAGGGTCTTGCTGACATAAGTTATCAGGGACGGTGAAGCTTTTCATGGTCAAATTTTATGGCTTACAGCTGATCTTGTTGTTCCATTGCTGCGTCAATCTCGCAGAAAGTAGGTCGCTGATGTTGTCTGCAACCTATCTTATGCTAATCTGGTTTCTAGTGGGTATGGGTAAGACGATCATGTTATCTGCCCTCATTCAGACCGCTCGTGGTCCAGAAGAGCCGAGCAAGGAAGGAGATAGCAATGGTCGATCCAAAGCCCGGCAATTGAAACTCAACAGCGCCTTTCGCACGTCGTCTAGGAAGCAAGTCGGGCAAACAAAGGGACCTTCTGCGACACTGATTGTTGCCCCGACGTCGCTTCTCTCGCAATGGTCGGAAGAACTTCAAAGGTCAAGCGCCTCGGGGACTCTTAAGGTGCTTGTTTGGCATGGTCAGAACAGACAAGACCTGGAGGCTGCCTTTGAAGGTGACAATGCGGTCGATGTCGTTATTACATCGTACGGCACGCTGGTTTCGGAACATGCAAAATTAGAAAGAGCAAGCTCGTCGCCGGTATTCGATAGTGAGTACAGCTATCTCGGAGTCTCGATGGTACTTAACATTTGGATTTTGCAGCTGAATGGCTGCGTGAGTATTTGGATTCAGTGTAGATCTGCATCATCAATTGCCGAGTCGTTTATAGGGGTGATACTGGACGAGGCACATCACTGCAAGTCGCGGCAGAGCAAGACCGCGCGAGCCGTATATGCACTCAATGCCAGACGACGGTGGGCAGCCACTGGTAAGCCAATGATTTTTTAAGCTCGAGCGCATCTTCATTATGTTGGACAGGGACACCTATTGTCAACCGTTTGGAAGACCTCTATTCACTTCTGTAACTATCTCCCCTTGCCGTGCTATCCCATGTACTGAATCGGTGCTCACAGAAAGTTCCTGAACTTCACGCCATGGTCAAATTACACATTCTTCCGCTCGTTCGTCACCCCTGCTTTCTTTACCATACTGGAGCTGACCGCTACTTCAGTTTCATCACCGTGCCGTTCCTCGCTAGGGATCCGAAAGCAGTTGAAGCTGTGCAGATTATCCTGGAGAGCATCCTTTTGCGGCGCGAAAAGAATATGCGCGATACGGACGGCCGAAAGATAGTGGAATTGCCTCCAAAGGAGGTACGAGCTAGGGATGTTGCAGCCATATCTTACTTAAGTCATCCATGAATCCAGGTGACAATCGAGAAGCTTGAGTTCTCACCCCTGGAGCGGAAGATATATGACTCCTTTTATACGAATGCTAAGCGGGACTTCGACCAGTTGAATGCGAAGGGACTCGTGAGCCGTAACTACACGCATATTCTAGCCATGCTTATGAGGTAGGCGGAGACGATACTCTTGTGACAATGTACTGACACCTCGAAGGCTACGGCGCGCAGTTCTCCACCCCAATCTAGTCCTGACTAGCGACGAAGGTAGCTCCAAAGAGACGAGTACAGGGGTGATCGACGTCAACGATCTTATCGAACGATTCAGTAAAGGAGAAGGTACCGACGGAGATACCAACGTCTTTGCCGAGAAAGTGCTGGCCAACCTCGGAGAAGAGGCTGATATGGAGTGCCCTATATGCTTCGATGTGATGTCAGAGCCCGTGATTATCCCGAACTGCATGCATCAAAGGTAGGTGCTACCCCCATGGAATTCAGAATACCACGTTTACATTGGTATGCTATAGCTGTAAAGACTGCATAGTCGCTTTCATCGAGACATGCCGAGACAAAGGGGAAGAGGGTCGTTGTCCCACCTGTTTGAGGGGTCCCGTCAAGGTAAAGCGTCTATCTCACTCTATAACGGCCATCAACTGACATGTATATTAGGAAAGCGAGCTCATCGAAGTTGTCAGGGAAGCGGATACAAAAGCCAGTGGTAGCACAACTCCGACGCAGTCTACAGTTACCTTGAGACGTAATGACTTCCGATCATCCACCAAAATCGATGCATTGCTCCAGAATCTGAGTGAGTGCTTCTGTCCCACGTCCTGGGCCGTTTTCTCAAATGTCTTGATGTGCGCCATCAGGGCGACTCAGAGATCAAGATCCCTGCTTCCGTGCAGTCGTTTTCTCTCAGTTCACGAGCTTCCTCGACCTGATCCAGGTGGCTCTAGAGCGAGAACGACTGGCATGGTACAGGTTTGACGGATCTATGGACATTAAGAGGAGGAACGAGGCAGTTACTGAGTTCAAGTCAACTTCGAGAGAACCTAAGGTGCTGATAATCAGCTTGAAAGCAGGAGGTGTCGGTCTGAATGTGAGGCTCCTCGTATATTATGATGAACGTTACGTGACTTACAGTGGACAGCTCACGAACGCCAATCACGTTTTTATGGTAAGGTCAACTTCCCGTCGTTATGCGTATTATCCTTGACATCCCGACTAGATGGACTGCTGGTGGAATGCCGCAACAGAAAACCAAGGTATGTAGATGGTTCATTACGATCGCATGCACGACTGATTATGTTGTATCTTCAGCGGTCGATCGGGTGCACAGGATAGGGCAAGAAAAACCCGTATATGTTAAGCAGTTCATCGTAAGTCTCTCCTATATGTCTCCGGACGTCGGTCACTGAAGAATCTGCGTATGAAGATTTCTGATACCATCGAAGGTCGCATTTTACAGATACAGAAACGGAAGACGGCGATTGTGAAGGAGGCATTCCGCGGTAAAGGCAGTGGTACTGACCCTGAGAGCGTAGAAAATTTGAAAATCATGTTTGGAGAGGGGAATGATTCATGAGGTACTCTGCTATTTGGTGCTTATGACATACCATCAGCATCGAACCGCTAGCCTGCTGTCGTCGTTTGGGATATGGTTTGATAAGATATTACCAGGGCGCGTTCAGACACCGTCGCAAAAGATACAAGCCCTGCGATGGGCTACGTGAGACAAACGACACTTAGCAGTCACCTCATGAGAGGTTTTGGAGGTGCCATGTCATTGATCCCTCGCAATTCACTCCGTCTACTTACAATTTGTTGGGCTATTGCGAAGGATTAAAAAATGCGACATCAAAAATGTACAAGAACACGTGACGAGAGTGGGATTCGAACCCACGCCCTTTCGGACCAGATAAATCCTTGATACAGGACCTTAGTCTGGCGCCTTAGACCGCTCGGCCATCTCGCCGTGTTTATGGTCCGTGACACAAATATTAATCGCAAGGACCGCCTCAGGATAAGACTAATTTGGTAATTTTGGTTCGCTCTTCGTTGTACTCGTCCACTTCTAGGACCCACGCGCACAGGGAGGTCTTAGATCCCCAGCTCACAAATATTCAAAATCGAGACCAGGCATACGATGTCTGACGCTGATCTCGTGTCTTGATCTGGGGCGTGGCGCGAACGTTCAGACCAAATGGTATACGGCAGTCCCCGGTGATTTTGTGCAAGTTCGAAAGCAGGTCCGAAGCACACTCCCTAACCGAACTCGGTGTTCCAAACCTTGTTTACACTATGTATTGAATCCGAGCCTGGAACACCTGTAATCCAGCCCCTATGTCTACTAGTCGTGTCTCCACCAATTTGGTGTTCTTATCGGGCATAGCACATACGATCCTTTCTGATACTTGAATAGCTCAATAAGATCAAGACAGTGACAGTCTAGATCTTCTCCTGATATCGGGGGCTAGGAGTTTGCAACGAGTAGGCTGATTTCAAACCGCTCAGTCGCCCCAAATCATGAGACAGCTCAATTCCAGAGAGCTTTCAGCAAGCAACCGAAGTACGCCGAAGATGTACTGGGTCGTATGCTTTATGCAGGGAAGATCTCATTCGGGCTGCCTCTTTCGCGCTGTATCCCCACTGGCAGGCACGTTGGTTATCTAATCTCGTGAATTAGGGATGTGAGTTCGGAACTGACGTATCTCTCCGGCTTTGTTGACAATCAGCTTCAGCTGCCCTCGGTGACGACGTCAGCCCGTTAGTACGGCGCCACATGAATCATCAATTTGTCCCGCGCATGAATCCTGGCCACTACTGCTATAAAACCCGACAATGTCCCTAAGGCTGCCTACCATCCACTGTGCCGCTCGAGCATCACAGGATGTCATCTGCTAATCATCCCCGCACGTACAAGGCGTATGCCTTCAAGGAGAAAGGCGGACAACTGCAGCAGGTGCAAGTCGAGTGGAAAGACCCGAAGCCCGGCGAGATTGTGCTCAAGGTCCTTGCATGCGGCGTTTGTGCAAGGTGCGCCATCTCCGACTATTTCATAGGGCCATATATTGATTGTTGCCCTGATGCAGTGACGAGGCCGTGAAGTGGCAGGGTCTGCCCACTGGGCTCCCACGCATCCCCGGTCATGAGATTGTTGGGACTGTCATTGCCGTCGCCCCTGGCGAGCAGATGTGGAAAGTCGGTGAGCGTGTCGGTGGCGGCTGGCACGGCGGGCACTGCAACGTCTGTAATCCATGCCGCGCCGGTGACTACATCTGCTGCGAGAACGAGGATGTCAACGGCACGTCGTCACGCATGACGCCACGCCACGGAGGTTGCTGACCGTGCTGCAGGTATTTATAGGGATGGCGGATATGCAGAATACGTCACGCTAAGGTCAGAGGCGTGCGCCAAGATCCCAGAAGACATGGATCCCGCAGAGGCGGCACCGCTCTTGTGCGCCGGCGTCACCACCTTTAGTATGTATACTGATGCGGCTTCAACTTTCTAGAGTCCTAATCTCGACTCTTTGCAGACTCTCTCCGGAACATGACCGCGCAGCCTCCGGACTATGTCGCTGTCCAAGGCATCGGGTATGTCAGCGAGCTGTATGACTGCTCCTGCCGATCTCACTTTGTCACAGAGGCCTCGGCCATCTTGGCGTGCAATACGCGCGCGCGATGGGCTTCCGCGTTGTCGCCCTCTCGTCCTCCGCGGCGAAAGAGGAGCTAGTTCGCAAGCTGGGTGCCCACATCTATTTGGACGGTTCGAAGGTCGACCAGACTGCCGAGCTCCAGAAGCTCGGAGGCGCTAGGGTGATCATGTGCACTGCGCCTAATCCGAAGATCATACAAACCCTGCTGCCCGCTCTATCTGTGAATGGCGAGCTTCTGCTTCTGGCTCTCTGCGACGAGATGACTATAAGCCCGGGTACGTTCGCAGCAGATGGACCCCAATCGAGATCATCCCAAGTTCTGATATCTTCAATCGATAGCCTCGCTGGTCCCCAAACGCTTGTCTATCCGTGGCTGGCCTTCCGGTGACGCGAAGGATATCGAGGAATGCGTGACGTTCACCAAGGCGCATGGTCTCAAGTGCATGGTCGAGAAGTTCCCGCTCCACAAAGCCCAGGAAGCCTATGACCATCGGAGTTCCGCCAAGTTTAGGGCTGTCATTGTGCCGTAGGATTGTGCGAAAGAACTTCCAATGAGCTGCACCGAGTGCTCGATGGCTTGTAAAATATCATCATCATGTATGCCGTCCGCTTAGTTTCCTCGGAAATGTTCGAGAACAATCGGTGATTTTGCGCGAGCCCAAGGGTAGTTTCAAGAGGCTCATCGTACAGAACGCGCTTCATGGCGCTATAGGGGCCTCGTTCAGAGTCACTCAGTGTTACCTTTGCTACGGCAAGATCTTATCCCCGGAATGAAGCTCGGACATTTCCTTGGATTTACACCTACTTCGGGAGCTGTCCGAGGCAGCACCCTTGCTTGTTCACTTGTGATAGGTCTCATGCCTGGAATGAAGCTGAGATAAACTCGAAGTGCCGATGTTGCAGGCAGAAGGTGTCGGAATTGGTGTAGGGATGGACTAAGTTTGTTTAGGTGTGGACGCCTTTCCTGAGAACTTAGAAGCGCCTACTACCAGCACCCTTTCGAATGGGCGCTGGTTTCGTGCCAAGATCGTGGCACGAAACCAGCGCCCACTTAATTCATCCTCCTCCTCCTCCTCCTCCATAGGCCTGTGCGCTTCAAGCGCTGACACGTCCACACCTAGTACACCAATGGGAAGGTCTCCTTCCGATAGCACCGGCACTTTGAATACTTAAAGGCTAGCTTAGCGAGCCTACAGCCACTTCTGATACTGCACGTATGTTGTGAGTACCAAGGATTCTTCAGGCCACATTGTGCGTCGGATCGACATATTCATGGTCGATGTGAACAAACGCTGAATGCCTCAAGAATATATTCCACAATTTAGAGAGCTTATCTTGTTCTGGCAACGGTGGCACATTATCGGACATTTCTGTGGGGCCCTCGCTGACCACCAGCCTCTGCGGGTTTTCTGGCATTCCCTGTCACGGTTAATCAGCTTGAGAATGCCAAAAAGATCCGCGAATAACGGAGGCATGGTCGAGGACTTCTCCGATGTTGCCGTACGTATACACACACGCTGATTGCATAAAGGAACCCATACAAGGCTGCTTATCTCGTTCTATGTCCTCCCAGTGACAGGTAATATTAGATATTTGAACTCATGGATCGGAAATGTGGGTTATCTCTCTAAGCCGTCTCCGTGTTGCCAACTTGCTAGATGGCGCAGCGCGTATCGACTATTCATCCTAGACACGAAGCTCATCCATCACTACTTTAAAACCTGACTATGTCTGGGAGAGAAGCCCATACATACTGCGAGTAAAGTCCTGGAAGATGTCCTCCGCCGACCATCCGAATACCTACAAGGCATATGCCTTCACCGAGAAAGGCGGCCAGCTGCAAGAAGTACAAGTGGAATGGAAGGACCCACAACCTGGCGAGATTATTGTGAAGGTCCTTGCATGTGGTGTTTGCGCAGGGTAAGCCGCCTTCAACTTATTCGTAGACAATTCTTATGGACTCGGTTCGCGTAGCGATGAAATCGTGAAAGGGCAAGAGATGCCCACTGGGCTCCCCCGCGTTCCCGGGCATGAGATCGTCGGGAATGTAGTGGCTGTCGCTCCCGGTGAGCTCGTATGGAAGGCCGGCCAGCGCGTCGGTGCTGGCTGGCACGGTGGCCACTGCGGCGTTTGCAATCAATGCCGCTCTGGCGACTTCATCTGCTGTGAGAAGGAAGACATCAATGGTACGTCACATGAACAACACAGGGTATACACCTCGCTGAATGCGAGTGCAGGTATCTTTAGGGATGGCGGCTATGCGGAGTATGTCACACTGAGGTCTGAGGTGTGCGCCAGGATCCCGGAGGACATCGATCCTGCGGAGGCGGCCCCACTCCTCTGTGCCGGTGTCACTACCTTCAGTATGTCCTCGCATGGCTCCAGAAATTTCCGTTCTTATGTCTTCCGCTGCAGATTCTCTTCGCAACATGACCGCGCAGCCTCCGGACTACGTCGCCGTCCAGGGGATCGGGTATGTCACTTTGCTTCTTTTATGACTCTCACATCGCTGAACTCCCGACAGTGGCCTTGGTCATCTTGCCATCCAATTCGCACGCGCGATGGGTTTCCGCGTCGTCGCCCTCTCGTCCTCCTCTGCGAAGGAGTCGCTTTCTCTCAAGCTGGGTGCCCACCTCTATCTGGACGGCTCGAAGGTCGATCAGGCAGGAGAGCTCCAGAAGCTCGGCGGTGCTAGGGTGATCATGTGCACGGCACCGAACGCCAAGGTTATACAATCCCTGGTGCCCGCGCTGGCTGTGAACGGCGAGCTGCTGCTGTTGGCTGTGTGCGACGAAATTGCTATCAATCCAGGTATGTCCGGCAGATAAAACACAGCACGGCAATCGTCTTGACAAGCTGCTGCTTATAGTTCCGTTGGTCAACAAGCGCTTGTCCATCCGTGGTTGGCCGGCCGGTTCTGCGAAGGACGACGAGGAATGCATTATCTTCGCCCAGGCTCATGGCATCAAGTGCATGGTCGAGAGGTTTCCCCTTGAGAAAGCCCAGGAGGCTTATGAGCATCGCGGCTCGGCGAAGTTCAGGGCAGTGATCGTGCCGTAGCACTGTGCGAAAGAGCGTTCGGTGAGCTACACCGATTGCTTCTTCAGCTTGTAAGATGCTGTGACCATGGCCGATGTCATTTGCTTCGCATTGTCCTCATTTGTAAGGATGTATGAATGTCAGATGCCTGCTCTGTGCTGCTGCACTTGCTGAGGGTGGTACCGGCTGCGACCGGATAAACGTATGATGATAAGTATGCAACCAAAATAACCTCGTTCGCGGAAGCTGATAGAAAACGGCAATTACTTATGTACCGA